GAAAGCATCATTTTTCAAATCAAAGTTTCTGACCATGAGCTTTGTGCATTCCAGTGTAAGGGTGATACTCCTGATGTATGCCTATATATATCATCATATCTCATATTTGGGTAAGCTATGTCTGTTCCCTCAACCATAAATGGAAGAGCATATTTATTGTGCCTTTTTCTCTCAACCATAAATGGAAGAGCATATTTATTGTGCCTCTCAACCATAAATGGAAGAGTATTGAATGCCAAAAGGCCATGCCTCTCAACCATAAATGGAAGAGTATAGAGTGCCAAAAGGCCTTGCCTCTCAACCACAAATGGATGAGTATATAATTTATGTATTTTTCTCTCAACCATGTTGAATGGAAGAGGCTCAACCAAATGGTTGGCTGCCAAAGGGCTCGGATTGAGATCAATCACTATAGAGGGTGCCCAAGGGCTAGGGTTGTAATCAACCTCACATTATACAATCTATCTGGCTTTGTTCTATTTTTAGAGATGGACCCTGAACCCTGAACACAGCCCATTCATGATCATGGCAATGGTGAATACCATGCTTATTTTTCACTTATTTTGCACTGCTTGTTTCCATTTTTCAGACAGCTTTCTATATTTGGATATGGACCCTGAACCCTGAACACAGCCTCTCCAACTTACTAAGCAATATTCTGATTTTCTACACATTTTTGGCCAATTTATTTGCCATTTTTCCTGATTTTATGGCTGCTTCTCTCCTTAAGAGAAAAGGTTCCCGCGGTGATGAAAGGTAAATCAATGAATGAATCAATGAAAAATTTGTCTAAGTCCTCAGTTGATAATGCCAAAACTTCCTTGATCCCAGTGTAAAAGATCTAGAAGATTGCTCAGTCCTGAGTTACATATGATCAAGCTAAGGTCTTACCATAGTTTAAGGAAGAGGTGGCATAGAAATCCATAGGATTTAACTGGCAGAAAGCCAATGATGTGTTTTCTGGGTTAAATATATTAAATTTGAGAATATGCACTAAAAAGGGCAAGTTACATACCTTCTGGGCTCAGAATAGCCAGAGAACAGAGAGTTTGTTGATCTAGAATATAGAAAGATTAGCAGAGTACCTACAGAAATATAGAAATAGGCTTACATGGCCAAAAATGACCAAGTTCAGAGCTAACACCAGTATTTCCAGATCTGAGCATGTTCCAGGTGTTGGAAGAGAATACAGAGGGCATAGAAGTGTAGCAGAGAAGGCCTAGAAGCCATAGCAAAAAGAATTGTAGCAGTAGCATGAGTGGTTGACTCAGAATGGAGTGAACAAGGTGCCAGCAAAGCAAGATGATGGTGGTTCAAGTTCAAAAGGGAAAGTTTACTATTATTTACCAGAAGCTTTGAAGTACCCAGGAAGTTTAGGGCATGTCCACATTCCTTATTTGGGAACTTTTTCCCACAGTACATGAATTATAGCCCCATGTCATACATTTCTAAATGTACTGAAATCACATGACCAGGATGATTTCTTATTGAGAAAAATATATAAAAACATGAAAAAATAGGTGTCTTTGCATATATCTCAGGAAAGAAAATAGCTAGTCACATTTTGTGACCACATTGAGAAATATAACAGCATGCTCTATAAAACTGTCCCTAATTTCCTTTTCAGGTCAATTTTCCCACGGTACCAGAAACACAGCCTCTCACTTAGCTTTATTAACAAGAATTGTAGCCCCTTTGCTTAGCTTTACAAATATATATAAATAATGTCACACAGATCATTCCTTATTGAGAAAAACACAAAATACTGAAAAAATTGGACACTTTTTGAAAATAGTCATGTATTTTGACCAATATCTGCATAAGAAAGAAGGCTAGTCAGATGATATAATCACATTTCTGATATTTAATGTTGCTATACTATTGGAGAGGCTGTATTCAG